TACTCATATGATATATACACACAAGCAGTGTATATCAAACTTTTACATCCTACAATTACAAACAATTATATCATAAGCCTCATATCATGATACAAATACCATACTTCCTTCTCTACAGTATAAGAACTCAATATAATTAATCTAATACAAACCCATAGTGGATCCATCTCCACCCTGATCTGAAGATTCGTATACTCTTGTTTTAAAGTTAAAAGTTAGAACGTATGTTGGGACTTTGATGATGGCTGCGAGTGCGAGTGCGAGGTTGTGGGTGATGTTTGACAGTTGAAGGCTATGGTTGTGGTTATGGTTATGGTTGTGGTGATTTTGGGACGGGGAAAGATTGAAAGCGGGGATGATGGATTGGATTGGATGGGAGGGGAAGGGAAGGGAATTAGGGGATATATTATGTATGTATATAGAAGGGGCATATTTAAAGGGCGAGATTTGGATTTGGATTGGAATTGGAATGATGATTCACTGGATTCGTCATGCTTGGATGGTGTATGTTGATATTGATGTCAATGTTGTGTGAGGAATCAATCGGGATGGATGTTGGAGAGGAGAGGAGAGGAGAGGAGAGGAGCGGAGATTCTTTCGGGACCGATGATATGATATGATATGATGAGATGATGGGGATTGGAGGAGATCGATCTGGTTGCTGGTAACTTGGTGTAGGTACCGAGTTCATACAGTATATATAGCTGTGATGAAGAGAATGAAGTTAAGATTGGACTGGACTGGATTGGATTGAATTGCGTTTACCATTCCCTGCCCGTAAGGTTACGCACCGCACGTAGAATTTGTAATGGCGGCTGTGTGGATCCTGGGCAGATGTGGTGTAGCACCATCACCATAATCATTGTGATCACGATTAAGGACATGGTGTGTTACCTAGGTGCATTCAGATGTAGAAAGATCGTGTTAGGTAATGTAATGCAGAATGATATTACTCCGTATACGCATATCAAAATAGGAAGCGAAAGTGTGATACATTGTCAACGAACAAAAGACCCCAAGAGCAAGCATTCCATCGATTCTAAAAACGATCTCAAACAGTTACATTACATCGAGTATGTAACTCACCAAGAATCTTGTCCGGCCAGCCCACGAACGCGCCTGTTTCTAACTACTTTCTCGTGTCTGCACGGTAAGGCTACATGTACAATATACGATGAATGCTATGCGCATCGTATAAGTCGAAGAACGTTACCGACCGTCTGGATCAAATTGGAGCTCGCCCTGGAGGGGTCATAAAAAGGTTACTTTTAGAATGCTGACATGCAGACATGTTGCATTTATTTTTCCTTGGGGGCCAGGGAAGAGATGCCGGGGATCATGAGGTGGTTAGTTACTTGGGGGGCTTTGTTTCGTTTGCGAAATCGTGTTGTACTTGGCTGGTCGGTATATGATTGTGATGTGCTGACTGCGCCGGGCACTGGTGTGCAGGATGATGAGACTCGACCTCGAGGAGTGTATGCAGTATGGGGATGGAGCAAACGCTTGGTCGGTGACCTTGTGATTTGGCTTCATTGTTGGTTGTTTGATGCATGCTGTAAGTAGGCCCATGGAATGATTGTCGTGGTTCGGTAGCGTTGTGTCAGTATATAGTGGGCGTTGTGGGGATATGGGATGAAGTTATTTGAAGTTGGTGTTTCGAACCGCCATCACAAATGGATGAGTGGCTGCCAAACAATGATACGGTAATTTAGTTATTCTGGAGTAGACATACTCGGTCGGGCTTCAGCCCCTTTCAAATGCCGGATCTGGGAGAGCCTTGAAGAAATACAAGCTTTTGGGTTACGCTCCCATATCTACCTTTTTGATCCTCTTCGTTTGATGATATTCATATTGTACATGAAACATCAAACAGTTGGACCAACAGTCGTAGTCGGGTAATCATTCTGGGTGTGGCTGATGGAAACTAACTAATAACCCTTCTGCAAATCTGTAGGCGATGAAATAAGCGTTGCGATGCATGCAAAAGCAGGGGCTCCATCCGTCAATCCTAATCCGAATGCTTTTTTGGAATCCACCAAGCTTACGAATCCAGGACCCTCATCATTTACCCTGGTTACCAAGGTTAATCTTGAAAAAATGATCCAAGGAATATGGAATAATGGGAGGATGTTTGTTTCCTCTGTCGGTCCCGGTCAAGTCCAAGAAGTAGATGGGTGAGTGTTTGAAGTACATATTCCTGTTGCATTACTAGTAGATGTATTTATATAGAACTACTCGAGCAAAGGGCATGATATGATATCAGAACAAAGTTTAGCGTCTCTTGGCATTCTACAGTAGAAGCCCCATCAGTACCTAAAAGCCAAGTCTATCTAGAATTAACATTAGTGCAGAGGTTACGAATACCTTTAACCCCATTGAGGTAGTGTCCGAATAGTTAAAGCTCTATTGCTTGTTTGTGACAAGGAATAAGGAAAATTTAAAGTAGCAAAGCTTAAGGCAGATCGATCTCCACATAGGGTTGTTTGCCCACGAAGTCCTCTTTGAGAAAATACCAAGCACCAGTAAAACATTGAGCTAGTTAGCCAAGAACTTCTATCTATAACTTTCAAACGAAATTCTTTCACTGTATTTGGGAAAATCATGATTCATACACTTTATGAATATGATATAATAAAGGGATTCGGAGAGAAGATTTTGGAATCAGTAGTTCTTTAGACATATCTTGAATCTTGCTTCAACTACTCCGTAAAGCCTATTCGTGTATCCAACAATACTAATGATTTTCAGTACTTGAGTACCTATCTATAACTGTACTTGGTATCGCCAAGATTCAGCCAACAAGAAAGACCACCTCAATACGAGTATAAGAGAAAATAGACAAACTAATTCAAAGAACAAACACAACCATGAGGTATCAATAAGCTTTGGACATCCCAACTTAAAGGGGTAACAATATCTCAGTCTGACTTTGATCTATACTCAAATGAGTAATATAATCTTCTTGACACTGCCCATGCAATAAGTTTTTGGGGGTGAGCCAACCCCCATCACAAAGTAACCCACCTCAAGACTTGTATACCTTGAAAATAAATCATCCGCGTACCCTTTCGGTCACCATGCTCGTAACGCAATACTGCTGTATATAGTTTAGATTCAAGATCTAAATGAATGTTTGAGATTCAAACTGGATACCCATTCAGTATCTAGATTCTAGACAAGGCTTTAGGGCAAACTTAATATAAGATTTTATCAACCAACCGGGGAACCCTTCTTTTTTACTCAAGGAGTTTGCTGGGAATCTGTTTATTAGTGTTGTTAGTCTATTACTCTAGAAGAGACGGGGCATCTGGATTATATCATTACGGATATTGGCATTCTTGTCTTTTCACCCCCCCCCCTTCCACATCCCATCCACCCATCTGATCTTCTTTGACTACAAGCGGCCCACCGACTATATGATTAGACCGACCTACGACTACTCTATATCAGTAACAGCTTGTCTCTTGGTTTGGAACTAGCTCGAAGCCTACGCTAGTGCTAGATCATCCAACTCAATTTTTTGACAATTAGATCATACATAAACTTCAAGGTCAGGATCCTTGAACACTCCTCCTTCTCCACCTTAACAACGGTCTATCACTTTATGCCGACATACTCGTGCTTTCACATCGCGGTACTTTCGACAAACAAAACCAAAGGACTGGTACGGAGCCGAATGAAATATAGAAAGAAAGCTGTTCTTCTTCCTCCATACTCTATTAGTCTTATCAATATCTCGACAACGAAGAAAAAGGAAATCACGAAAGGTCAATAAAGTCAGCTGTTTTCATATCTCATCTGGAGCGTGGAGATAACTATACACAATCTCTGAATATCAGGTATGTACAATACTATTTTCTTGAATATCATTCATATTGCCACAGGAAGGTTGTGGATAGAAGAATATATTGCAGGTAGTTAGTGTACACCTACTTTGCTGTTGTGTATCCTCTACTTGTATGTATTTATTCTAGTCCGGTTCCCCCCTCTCCCCCTCTCCAACTTCCCCCTTCTCTACCACAACTCGCCAAAGGGGACAAACACTAGTGCATCATTGTCAATTAGTTGTCATGAAGAACAAAATTATCACACAAATTCACTCCAACACCAAATCATTGATTGAATGGCTTCACAAAGGCAGTTTCAGTTGTCCTTCGAAAGCACATTCCTCGATGAGAATAAAAATAAAAACATGACAGTTTCATTTCATCTCATCTCATCTAATAAGATAATGGCGTCGTCCACTTTCATCTTTTTCATTACAATGTCCATTCTATTCTATTCTCGTCGGAGAGTGTTTCGTTCGTATCAAAAACAATACACAACCCGTTTGATTCGGAAGTTTAACAAAATCTATTTTCCTACCCTTGAAGCAAGAATACGCGCATATTCCATATTTCGTGAAGCTTTAGGTTTAAGCTTCTGTCACCTTGTGCTTCAACTTGTCTCATCTTCGCGTCGACTTCCGTCTTGTACTCTTTCAGTGGGACAAAAAGATATGAATATTTGGCTAACAATTCATCTGAAGCGAAAAAGAAGATCTTTTATCAAACGTCTCACTCTTCAAAGCCTCGACAATACCTGCACTTTCTTCAATTGACGATCAGAATCTACCAGCATTTATCTCCCACCTTTTTATTCACGTCAAAAAGGTCGAATTCGATAAAAAAAAACATCAAAAACATCAAAAACATTGATGTGCCGACTTTCCGCCCACAAAAGCTTCCATTTCTGATGTCCGAGAATTTGCCAAGAAGTACAGCCGCGTAACTTCACCAAGAACAGAAACACAAGACGAGAAAAGTCGAATACACAAGGAATTGATATCAGAGTGGATTGACAAGGGGAGAAGTTAATTACAAAATCTTGAGAGAGGAGGCGTCCGTCCACATTTGATCTGAGTTTTGGGAATACTACTATTAGTAGGAGTTCATCTTTCATATATTGCCTTGCGCAATTCAACTTCAATCGAAACTCAATTCCTTCACCCGCATATCACAATGGATACATACCACGGTCACGTACGCACTCCTGCAGATGCGATTAAGTTATTCGAAGCTTGTCGACTTGGTCTATTACCTCGAGTACAAAGAAGGTTATCGGAGAAGGAGAGACAATCAATAAAATCTGGATCAGTATTTGTTTGGGATGAAAGAGAAGCGGGAATGCGAAGATGGACTGATGGAAAATCATGGAGCGCAAGCAGAGTTTCTGGCAGTTTTTTAACGTATCGCGAGATGGAGGGAAAGAGGGGAGGAGGTCAATTCGCACCACCACCAGTTCGAAGAATGGCAGGGAAGACACCGGATAGTTCAAAGGGTAGCGACGATGATCAAGATATGGATGGAGATGGGCCGGATGGGTACAGATATAAACCTGATGGTTTAATGAAACAATCCTTCAGTATCACAACTTCAACCGGACAACATCTTCATTTGATCAGCTACTACTCTCGACCTCATGCAAACACTCCCGAGCTTCTACAACCGACAAGTGATCCTGCACTTCGAGGAATTGTTCCTGTCAAAGGAATGTATCCAGAATCCACAGTTCACGAAGCTCAAGGTCCAGCAGTCACGAGAGCTCCTATGCAACAAGGCCCTTACATGCAACAACCACATCCACATATGCACCCATCTCAACATCGAATTCCATATGGCTATTCCCAGGGATATGGACCTTGGCCACCATCCCCAGTTTCTACTCCTCCATATCCACACCACCAACAAATGTATCCATCACAACTTCCTCCGCCCCCACCCGGATCAATGCACCCTTCGCCCTACCAAATCTTACCAGGACCTCCACATACATCACCATATCAAGCTCATCAATACAGTCCCCATCACCGCCAAATTCACGTCCCAAATCACATGCCTCAAGGCCCACCTCATCCGACAATTTATGACCGACCCCCACCACCTCTCTCAAATTCCTCGTTACCTCCTCCGCCCCCACACGGTTATCAAAACAGTGCCCCACAATATATGCATCCATCCTATCAGCCACACCCAAGTCCTCGTGCCGAACATGTAGCTAGGGTACAGGTGGAACAACATGCACAGATGGCTCAAAGAGTCTTACAAACTGGAATGATTGATCCAAGGTTGGCCCAAGCAGCACCGCTTCCACCGGTTAACATCCATACAAACGGAACCAATGGTATTCAAAGAATGAATACTCCACCGCGACAGCCGAGCATTTCCCCAGTTCACACACCAAAGAGTTCTCGTGACCAAGCCCTCAGTTCTCCAGATGGAACACCAAATGGCATTGGTAAATCTGAAGCTCAAACCATACCCTCCATCTCAAGTCTCGTTCACGCCTCAGATTCCGTATCTGTTATGGCGGATAATAGGTCAAACAGTAGCAACAACTCGAGAGCTGGATCTAATAGCCCAAGACTAAAGGAACTAGCAGAAGCAAAGGCAGATGAGGAAAAGAATGCATTAAGTGTTACAACGGGCACAGCAGATATTCCGCATAAAAAATTGTCCACAGCAATTGCAAGTGGAGCAGAAGATCAAAGAGCTATTAGGGTATTGGATCGAAAATTCATGATATGATCTGATTTGATTTAGAGGGAAGAGAAAATCTGGTTAAATCAAAGGGTATGGCGTGCAAAAAAAATTAAGGAATACTTCGAGGATTCGGGGAACAAAGGCGTCAGGTTATGGAATACGGAGGAGTTTTTGCTTTACGAAATGATATCCTACACTTTCGTTTTTTCTGTTCCTTTTTTCTTGTTATCAAAGTTTTATTACCTTCATTGTATAAGTTTAGTTTTACGGAGTGGAGCGGCATTATATTTCAAGTCAGATGGTTAGTACGAGTAAGTGATGTTGCATTGCATCGCGATGGAGTTTGCTGTTTTTGCACTTTCGGGCTTTTGGAGGCGGGGGTGGAGGAGGGCGGGGAGAGAGAGGTCATCTACATTCCTACATACAAAGAAGTCAGAATTCGGATTCGGATTCGGATTCGGATTCGGCTTTCAATACAAGAGTAGTCCTACATCATAGCATACCATAGCATACCATACCATATTACGAGATGAGATGAGATGAGATGAGACGGGTTAGAGATATATATATTTGTATTCACAGATACCAGATCAGATCAGATTAGATTAGATCAGATCGGATAAGATGAGATCAGTGAGCGATATAGTATGGCTGAATCGGATTGATTGATTTGGTTATAGGAGCTTATACTTAGCTTGAGATGAGTGGATGGATGGATGGATACCTTCTTTGCATTTGCAAAGGATGGAAGATGGAAGATGGAAGATGGCGAATCAATATGATATAATATAATATAATTAAATGGAAAGGAAAGAAATTAGAAGAAAAGAAAATTATATAACCGTGTATGAAATGAAAGGGAATGAAGATGTTGATTGTGTGATGTGATGTGATGTGGTTTGATGCAGTTTGGTCAGTTGTGGTTTTATGTGATAAGATGAGTGGAGTTATTATGATTTAGTGACCGTATCGTATGTCACGGTGATTGAAATCATAGGATGGATGGATGGATGGATGGCTGGGTGTGTGGAATGGATGGATGGATTTGCAAATACAGGTTCAGTTGATACCGATACACTGGCAATGTAAGATCTTACCTTTAGCTAGCTAAGTAGCTAAGTAGCTGTGGTGGGTGTGTAGGGTGTACTGGTAAATGGATGCATCTTATTGCTGATACGATGATATGATATGATTTGATATTTATGGATTTGAAATTAGATTTGGATTTGGATAATAGGGGATGTGACGGGAAAAGGAGAAGGAGAAGGGGGAGGAGAAGGAACTAGTAAGTAGAAAGTAGAAATTGGGATGGAGAGTGAAGGGGGATTGTATATGGTAGTGGTAGGATTGAGATTAGCATTAGGATTAGGTGTAGTTGAGTGGTATGAGATGAGATGAGTTAGTTTACTTGAGTGGAATTTGGGTGGAACTTGCCACTTAGTATGCTAAGCTAGTGGTGATGAATACTGTACTACAATGGTACGGTATGGTATTATATATGCTGGTGATGGATAGGATGAGATGATATGGATGGGATGATATGGGATGAGATGATATGATGTTGTAATCTTACATACAGTACAAAATTAGACCCTTCGGGTACGAGGAGAAAAGAAGAGAGAAAAAAAGAAAACGAAACAAAAAGTAAGACAGATAACAAAAACAGAGGCTCTGCCTTTTCCCCGCGCCGTCGGTCAGCTAGGGTAACCTTACATGTTTCCGGCCGAGTAGATAGAGAGAGATCGGTTCCAAATACAATAATACAATCCATCCGATTTATCCATTCACCGAAGGAAGGATGAGATGAGAAGAGAAGAGATGAGATAAAATGATATGAGACAGGCCCGACGAATGCCGCAAGCAGGATGAAGGATTAGATTGATCTCTGTCTTGGCTTTCCCTATCCTATTCACTCATTCTATTCTATTCTGCAAGCAAATGTGAAATCTTCAATATCTAGCCTACCTATCCTATCGAATTAGAATCTAGAATAGCTCATGCACACAACATACAGAACCTTACATGGATGGCATATAAACATACGGTTCCAAATAAAAGCAGACTGACTCGTGTACACACACGCGCACAAATAGACGAGTAGCCAGCCAGCGAGCCAGCCCTGCCTGCCCTCCATCCCAAGGCGCTCTGCAGTAAATCTCGGGTCTATAGTCGAAGTCGATACCGCGCTAGAGATTCTAGTAGGTTATGCGATCCACATAGGATTTCTTCAAGTATTGTACTCTACGGAATTAACATTAAAATTATAAATGACCTAGAGCTAGATACTTTCAGGTAAAGTTTCGAGAGGGTGATGTGCATGAGGTGTGGACTTGGCACTTTGCTGGAGTGCAAGGCGGTATTGTGTTAGATGTGTGCTGTGTGGAGAAGAAGAAGCATGGGTAGTTAATTATAGGTGATAGTTCTTACTCCATGCTCGGGTCAACTATTGGCATGAATAGCCATTCTTATCCGAGCTACTAGAAAGGCAGACAGAAATCGGGTAGTATGATGAAGTGAGGTATGGAATGAAATAGGTAGGAAGTGAGCGAAAGTTTCCAAGGAGAAGAGATCAATAGATGCAAAGACGAGGCGCATTTAAATGTGACCCAAACATCCAGCCAATTGAAGAAGAAGAAATAAACTTATTCTGCCTCTTGCCAAATTTTCCCATGATATTGCCCAGGCCCTAAACTTCTTCAACGGCTGTGGTGGTATAGGTGGCTGTGATAATAAAAGAGAGGGTGTGCTGCAAAGCCTGCCAACTCGTGCAACTAAGTACAGTAGATCTGCATATACCCGCCAGAATTCCTGCATTGGGACATGCGAGTGTAGAAGGCTAGAAGCGAAGTAAAGATAGGTGTAATGAATGAAGACCCCAACTTTTGGGTGCTGAGTAAGGACAGGGGTAATGCATAAGGTGTGTGTGGAGGTGGAGAGCTCGAGGTAGTATTGGGGAGCTCTTTTGGAGGAGCCGGCAGCAGGGAACAAAAATGGAATGAATAAACGTAAAGTAAGATCGGACGAGGTAATGAATGAATTTTTCGTTTCGGAATAATTACTCAATTTTGTATCATCTTGAGGGGCAGCATTTGAGCATTACCTTTCGCAAAAATAAACATAACAAATGTATCTTTCCCTCAATACTGGACATGAATTTGAATTCAAAACAAAGCACATACATGCGGGGTTGTGGCGCTTGATTTATCCGCTCAGACCGAATCAAAGCGCAGCGCCTACTTCCCTGCCTACATAGCTACATAGCTACATATCTACCTAAGAGGCACAGCAAACTCAAGATGTTGCAACTAGATCGATATTACGGTACTAAACTGAGTATTCCAAAATCTCCAAATAGGGGTCTAGATTGCGCTTAGCCGCTTACACAAGGCTAGCGGGTGAATGTAGGTTCTTTTGACTTCTGTGCGTCTCAATTTGATGAACGACTACGTGTTGGATGCCGTAAATCATACCTAATGGCAACTAACAGTTGGTAGATCTTCCATATCTCCATCACATTTTGATATCTACCCCACGTCTCAAAAGTTTGGATGCCTATAGGAAGTCATCCTATTCCCTGCTTTGTTGGTATTTTGTTGGAATCCCGAGATTCATCATTTCAATATCTAATATCTGGTCTTGGCGACTGGACCATATTCTTCATCTTATATACCAGCGTTACATTGTTGGTGCTTGTTGGACATTGAGGCGAGAGAAAGCCGAGTTTGGGTGGATTGTTATCTAGAATTCGGGAAAAGATCGGTCGAGTAGTCTGCAATATACCAAGGTTCGTGCTGAATGTAGTGCAACACAGCCTAACCAGCCAGACTTCTTTGAACCCCTCATTAATATCTCAAGCCGTTTTGGTGACCGGATCGTTGGATATGAAGAATTGATAATGTTAGACGGAAAGAGAATTAACAATAATAAAATAATAATAAAAATATTCAAGGAATGTATTTCCAGAATCAGGAGGAATTCATTAATCTTCGAGGCCTTCCCCCACAAAATCTTTACGGCATCGAATGCAACCCAAGAATGAGCAATCAAATGGATCCTCCCGAGACTCTTCTCTTCCATATTGTTAAGTATCAATTTAGACTTGAAACAAGCTTCTGTGCTTGGCCTCCAAACATCAAGCGGGTACCTACCGGAGGTACTTACTGTACTTACTTTATCTCAAAGTAAGAACCTTGATTAGAAATCTGTTGATTAAATTTATTCCATTGTGAATTAATAATTAGGATTTATTCCTCGAGGTACCTCTCGGGAGCTTAATCTGGGGGCCAGGGGTATGCATATGTAAATGAGGCTGAAATGAGAATGAAATTTACCGAAGATTCGTATATGCATGTGAAGTTGTACTGTTGTTGTATTTGGGGGCAAAAGATTTGATGTTGTGGTTTCGGTGGAGATTTGCGGTTGGTTTCTGGGTCTATAGAAAGGTCTTCCAACTTGAAAGTTTAATCGAATATGCATTTCCGATAGATGTGAGATGAAAAAAGTTATTCATGGTTGTTGGGAGGCTGAGTAGCAAAGAGGAATGAAAATGAATAAAGTCATGCAATAATGTGAAAAGAGGCGTAGCCAAAATTATAATGACTAAAAATATGCCGAGAATGAGAATGCAGGCAAAGGCCATTGAAAAAGACATCGTCGTCAAAGTGCAATAAGACTAGAGAAGAAATGCGTTGGATTGTGATGATGGCTGTGTCTCGGGTTGCTCATAAGGAGACATTCTCTTATTGTCATGAGACTGTTACTGCATGAATTAGTGAACTCACGACAATCCCTTTCTATTCTTACGATATCCTCTTAAAATCGTAGATTGCATCGATCATATTCTCCTGAGAGAAAGCCTCATGCCAAGTCAATCTCGAGTTGTGTCAATCTCTGACTTGAAACCAATATGCTCTAAAATTACCCATTTTAGCAATCGCATCTTCCAACCCACCTTGGAAATGTGACAATCTCTCTGATATTCTGCACACCGGTAAGATATCCCAACAGTCTATCGAATCCCAAGCCAAATCCTCCATGAGGTACACTTCCCCAGCGTCTCAGTTCTGTGTACCATTTCAAGGGACCAAGTTCTTCTTCTCCTGCATCGCCACGTACCATACCGTTCGCCCGCATCGCAGAAATGAGTTCTGATAATCTGTATTCACGCATAGAACCTCCTGCGATTTCACAAACCTCAGGGACCAGAAGATCAAAGCATTCGACGGTCTCCGAAGATGTTTCGGCCTCTGAGGATTCTGAAGGCAGCATGTAAAATGGCTTGATGCATTTTGGATAAGATGTTACGAAAACAGGCGATCCAAGTCCGATCGTGTCAGCGATATAGCGCTCGTGTTCGGCTTGAAGACCTAAACCCCAGGTAGGAGGATGTTCGAAAGTTTGTTCACTTTTGCTAAGCTCTTCAATGGCTTGCGTGTAGGTAATCCGTGGCCACGGTCCCTTCATCATACCTTCCCATCTTCTTGTCAATTCCTGTCTTCTTCTTAAAGTAGCAGCTTCGTCGTCGCCGCTTCGCTTTGCTTCCAAAATTTCTTTCCCAACTTGAGTAGAATATAGATTCGTCGTTAAATGTCTGAGCATATTTTCGACAAGGTCCATAATATTGTCCATTTTTTCAACAAAACTGCACTCCGCTTCCAACATGTAGAACTCACTCAAATGTCTTGGTGTGTCACTTTTTTCCGCTCGGAATGTAGGGGATAATGTCCATACTCTTCCCACCGATTGAGCCAAAGCCTCCAAGTGTAGTTGACTTGAGACAGTCAAGTACTTTGATGATCTGAAGAACGATCCATCATCGCCTTTTCCAATTGACCCTTTATGCGCGCTACCCACTTCAAAAACTTCTCCTGCGCCTTCACAGTCCGAAGATGTAATTATGGGAGGATGAGTTTGGACATAATCCTGGTCAGTGAAAAACTGTGTGAGGAAATCTATGCTCTGTGATCGAAATCGAAGTAATGCTGAATTGAATGGCGTTCGTGTTCGCAAATGAGGAATGGTGCGGAGGTATTCAGGCGTATGGTATTTGTTTTGTAGCGGAAAAGTCTGCCAGTTCAGATCAGTAATGATCATCAATGGCAACGTATTGCATCCAAGCCTTACATACAGCAGGATCTGCGGCACCTAAAACATTTACTTCAAGCACATGCAATTCATTGCTTTGTGCCTTTTGGTTCGGGGAAGGTTTCCAGTATCCGGTGAGGCGTACGGCTGTACCCGTCGAAAGACTATCGTATGATTAGGAATCGATTAGGGAAAGGAATAGAAACTTGTTTGTATGGCTATCAGACCTTTCAGCTTGTTGTGGAGTAAGAAGAGCTTGTAATGGTTGCACACTTGAGCCATCCCCAATTGAAGCGAACGATATCTTTTTCTGGTTTCTAATGGAACGAATGAAACCATTGACATTAACTTTAACCTCATCTACTTTCTCGGGAGAAGTTCCAAGCAATTTTGCAACAGACAATTGAGAAGATCTAGTAGGATAGGAAATACTGAAGCTCCTCGATTGAGTCAAAGATTGTGCGACATATTTTGATAACAACCGGGGTTGTACCATTGTTTTTATTCGATCTCTGGAAGAACAGGCGACTCGATAAGATCGACAAAATCAATCTCGAGTTTCTAGTGGAATAATTGCGGTTGCCTGTGGTGATATGGTCTCGTTTTGTATATTCTTTTTTGATGTTCAAGTTATGCTCTTATCTGGGTTTCTGATATTAGAGGATATATTGGCAGATTACGGTCACCGTATATGTGCGCTAGGGTAAGGTTATATCTACCGAGCCGAAACGACCCGAGCCGTTGGCTTAGAATTTCAACTTTCCATCAGTTCTCATTATCGGCCAAATCGTACAAAACACTCATCTATTGATTCTATTTTAACTAGACTACTAGACACTAGACTAGTACTAGGCTGCTGTCAAGGTATACAAAGTTATATACTGTACTGTCATAAAATTCTCAGCTTAATCCTCGTCAGGGGCTCATATGCTTACGAGTCTGGGCGCCGGCAAAAGCAATTCAAGATTGGAGAGAATTTGCTGTTTTTCCCTCAGATCTTTTGTTTGACTGTGTTCATCTTGTCAATCCTCATTCTTTGCAAATATATATTATCCTATAGTACAGCATACTGACTATAGCCTTTTACACAACGATTCAAAGCCCATTCTCTGGAATTCACCCCTTTTTCGTGGAACGTTATACACTACCGGTATTCCATTACTGTCTATACCCGTTATCATTCTGAACCAGTTCGAATCTGCACGGACCAATCTTGTTTCTCATATACCTTACCTATTCCTATCGGGAATGACGAGAGAGTTGACAGATCTATTTCTCGCGAATCTGATGTAACATGTAGGATTTGATCAAAAGATCTTGGGACGGTTTCCGGTAACATGCATACTTTTTGTCACTTGGTAGCAAGGACTCGGAAGTTGCAACCCATAATATCCGCTGCCCATGATGAGCCCTCAGTTCTGTGGAAATGATCTTGACTCAAAGAGTCTGGAACTAAAAAGTCAATATAGTTTGTTTTGACTGACAATAGCTCCGGTCATCTGTCAGCTTCAGGTCTGTGTTCGAGATCGTGCGTCAGGAATGTGGACTACAACGCGTTGTTCACAGCATTTACTTTTTATTGAATCACATCTCTTGTTACCTTTCATTTATATAATGCTTGAACTATGCCCTCTCCTTGTTCTTTGTTTCCAAGATCACAGTTCTTTCCATTTACTACTCTCTTCGAATTAGTCATATACTTCTATATACACACATCCTTCTTCATTCCACAACTTCAGCATGCCTCCCTCAAAACCAAAGCCTTCAGAGATTGCTGCGGAAGCTAAGAAAACTTATATTCCTTATATTCGCAGTGCGTGTCCACAATGGCCAACTACTTCATATCTATGTCATTCAGATTCTCTACGAGATCAGCCAATTAGAGAATCAAGACAGTATACGTTTGGTGAGTTTCTTTGTGAACGGTCTCGGATTCATGGACTAATACTTTACAGCTTTTTTGGAACGAGATCCCGTGGACCTAGCGCTCGAATGGACAGCTAGCGAGAACAATTGCCCCATTCCCGTCATTATGCCAGCACATGAAAGACGACCAGGTGGAGATTGGGAAGCCGGTATGTCTATTGCCTAGTCTGAATTTCAGCTTCTCATGTTCTAATCGATCTTAGGTGTCATGCAACCAGAGGAATGTTTAGCTAGGCGAAGCACTCTCTATACTTGCCTGACCACTCCAGCATCAGACAACATAACCACAAATAACTACCCCGTTCCCGAACGAGCTGGTATCATCTCTCAAAACGTTGGTTAGTTAGCCAGCCCAACTCATTATCATTTATGAGATATATATTCTAACAAGTGCAAGTGGTTTTTCGCAATGGACCAGAGAAGTATGAGCCGTGGTCAGAATACAAATGTAATTTTTCAAAGCATCGTATATGGAACTTATATTGACAAACAATCCAAGCACTACCGATAATCTCCGTCCCTACCGTCAAACGTCCTAAACTTGACAGCTCCGGCAAGAAGTACTCTTTCAAGACAGAACGCGAATTAATGAAAGCTTCCATCAAAACCGCCTTGCGGATCGCGATATTCTATGGATATGATAAGATTGTGATTGGAACATTTGGTCTTGGTCCAGGTTTCAAGAACCCGCCCGAAGAAGTTGCCAACATCTGGCGTGAGCTACTGGTCCGCGACAACGAGTTCAACCAGCAGTTTTCGGCCATCATCTTTGCCTTTGAGTCATGTGAAGGTGCGGGGGGTTCCAGTTCTAGCAGCCCAAGCTCATCATCGAAAGCTTCAAAATCATCAAGCGCAAGTAACAAGACTTCTTTCACCCACGAACTCGACATATTCAGACAAATGTTCAAGCCAGCAAATCTCCACGGTGCTTTCAAATCTTGAGAGCTTTTTCAATGGTGATGCTTGCTTGGCGTTCTAAGGGGCAAAGGGTGATACTTGCCATGATGCAGGCATGGGTGGATTACATGGTGGCGTTTGTTACGCGACAGGGAATACAAGAATTAGGGCCTTGCTTAAGAGCGGTGGGAAAATGTTGGGATCACTTTTAAATTTCTTCTATAGACAACAACCAATTTGCGAGACATTATAGCACTTATAAACGGCACTTGTTGCCTGTTTCTTGATAGTATGTGATTATCATTCATTGTTAAACGAAAGGTGAGACAAGAAGCTGAGGAAAGTTCCTCTATGGAGCTCCATCCGCCGATTACTTTCCTCAAGGAGGACCAGCTAAATCCATGGCTTGACATGTAACTTCTGGCAACATAGATGTTTGTAATGCTATTGTGTTGGCGGATACGGAAATATCTCCGGTCTATCTTGATTACTTTTTTATTTTTCACTTCCCCTAAACCAACTCTAATTTCCTGCTGCATATCCAATGTCCATATTTTGTCCTAAACTCTGATCCCCAAAGGTGATTAATTCTCCGTTTCCAGATATCACATCGTGGTCACAGCATGCGTCAAAACGGAGATTTCTTTTGCCTCCCTAAACGGAAAACATCCACCCATCAATATGCTCATTGTACAGAATTCTGCGATACGCAACGCAGTGACAGTGTCACTTCAATATGACATATGTGGCTCCAACCCCAACAAAATATGCAACATCCCGCACGATTCCGCCCCCAACATTACAATTCTCCAGATCTGGTACGACATCCAAACACGGCCGAGCCTACTTCTCGGGCCCTCTTAAAAATCTGTCTCTCCTTGCAATGTGCAACGACGTTCGACCAAGTCGGCGGATCCTGCATTGCGCTACTGTCTTCCGTATTGGTTTGATCAATCAGTATGCATGTTCCCCGGGTTACACTGCGCTGTTCTGGAAGTCGGACGGTGGGATCGTGGAGGGATGTGATCGGATCTGAATGGGGTGTCAAGGGTGCGGGCCGCGAATGCAGTGTTACACGCGAGATATCGGTACTCGAAATATCTGTATCGCACAAGTTCGAGAATATGTGGAGAGGTGAGATGAATTGAGATACGACTTCACAGTTAGATTTGGGAAAAGACGGTGAGGTGGTACCGTGGGACGAATATGATCATGTGAAGTGATTGGTCTTGTCGGTACGCCGCTAGGGGAATATTTATTGGTGTTTGTGGAACAATTGTCTTTTTTGGATCTTGACTTAGGAGGATTCTATCACAGCTGCATAATATGACGGATCGGAAATGTCGTGGAGCGTGAGAGAATCTTGTAGTGGCATGATCTCGAGGGGCACTGGTATAGTAAACGAGGGGGTACATCCATTCGGCCCCCAATATTACCGCTCTTGGAAAGTTGAATAAGGGAGAAATATGTCACATTTTATGATCACGGATGACGTTGAATGATTTTTGGAAGTCCAAAAAGATATTTCGCTGATTGTGGATCTTTCATCACACATCTAATATTGTTTATTTGATCCGTCTAGCCATATTGTAAAGATCTTGGTCTCAAAATCAATACTCGATGCCTATCTCCTCGCCTAACCACTCAGCTACTCTATAGTCCGAATCTCCCTGCCTAATCCGATGTCACAAAGGCTTGGACCGATCTCTTTACGGCAACTTCAAATGCTAGTCGTGGCCATGTTGGTGCCGAGCCGGGCTTAATCTTTCGGGAGACTTTGGTGGTACGCAGTGATCCCGATTACAGTAGCTTGGATGCTTGACCTCTTTGAATTCCTGCATGTGATATTGTTTGTGTTGTGGGCATATTCGCTCCCAGAAGTAACCAATAATGTGGCAGCATCGTGGGCAGACGGTTTGGACGTAGATACACATATTGTTGGTGATCTTTTTGTCTGTTTATTCTTTTGAGCTCTCGTGGTTCTGAAAGTGATGATCAGTTGTAGTGATTTATCGTTTGGATAATGTTGGAAGGGGAAAGAGGGTACTATCTGGAACCTCTTATCAGTTTTAGTACACGAGTTGTTTTCGCCAAATGATTCAATATGCAACTACTTTGACAATCTTCTTTGTTCGTGATTCATACTATGTGATTGTTTGAGACTTGTTCTCTTTAATGAAATGGTGTTTTCATTGTTTATCAGTCTCTAAATTTAGTTCGCTTGCAAGTGAACAAAGAATTATCGACGCTCGGGTGGGCATGCTGGTTTCTGCATTGTTTTCGAACAACGAAGCTTAGAGAAACATGCAACGAATATGGCTTCATTACCCTCGTTGTATTCTAGAAACCCCTTATCCAGTGATGAGTTACTTCTTTTGTGATCTAATGACTAGAAAAGGAAGGGATGCCTTCAAGTTACTATCTATCCTCTACAAATTCCCACAACCTTCAGCATCATTTCACGGCTTTTCCAATACACCAGCAAACTACAGCTCCTTTTCCTCCAGTTTCAACAAACCACACAGAACATGTGCCTCCTCGAAATCAGATATTGCATCACGTGCCGCATGCGAACCACTGTGCGCTTCATTCCTCCAAATCCCGCCTTACCAGAATTTGTACCGGAAATCAAACAATTTCCGGTATACTGTACGAAATGTAGTCCACCGATGGGTAATCCAGTGCCTACGAATGGGCCTCAGTCGAAACGACGATAATGGGATAGAGGGGTAGGGAGTTGTGCGAACGGTTGATACTTGATGGTCTCAAGTTGGGGATTATGGATAGGAAATCATCACGAATTTTGATCATAGATTCAATGGTTTCATGCGATCATGGATTCATCACGGGGCTGGAAAGGAAGTGACTGAACAGTGCAAGATCAACCATGGAACAATATCTTTCTCCAATCTTCGTCATCAGAGAGAATGCACACATCCCAATGAAATCAATCTGACATAGAGAGCATATAGACTGTTTGTGAAACTTGCTACACAATATCTATCTCTTATCCAGTGCACTTAGCCCGTACACCTATGCCTATCAATGAACAGGATCAGGGAACAACGTCTTTCTCCCCCATTATAAATACTTTTATTCTCTTTGTTATGGATCCATCCATTCTTTTCCCACCAATTGGAGGTCACAGAAGTCAGTAACACCAAATACTGACTCTGCAAATCACACATCGAGAATCTCACAAGAAACCGAACAATCATGAAGTCAAACTTTAAGAACATCATCCTCATCCTCGGGCTCGCAAGTCTCACAGCAACGATCCCCCGAGAACGCCATGACAAGGACGCTGATTGCTTCTCCTTCCACCACCACGACGAAGGCGACATGTTGAAGCCCCATCACTTCAACCTCGAGCTCGACTGCAACAGCAGTTCCGTCTCAATCGACGTACAGCCATCCCAACTCTCACTCTCCTGTGCTCTCATCAGCACCCGCAGAATGCCCGACGGAACGCATGATCCGCATGAATTCCCCATCGAGCTCAAATCCGGAGCATCATTTTTCCGCGGAAAGAAGATCAAATCGACCATGCTTCAGCCATTCATCATCTCACGCTCGCAAATCCCTGATGGGGAGGACCGGGTGGCGATGCTGGTAGGATGTGTGAAGATCCATCGTGGATGGTCGAAAGGGCAAACGCGAGAGGATCTTGAGATTTGGTGTGAAGTGTTGCAAGTCGAAGCGGCAGACAGAAATGATGGCGGGGAGTCAAAGATGGAATGAAAGACTCTCAGAAAACCAATCCGACACAGGGAGTTGTGAGTGACTAGACAAACATCTCTTCTTCTCCTGGCGAACATGATGATGCATGATTGACTAACTAGAGTTAGTAGTAGAAAGCATATATATTTTATCCCATCTCTTCTGCAATCATCGATACTTGAGAATCCCAATATTGATAAACATTTTTCTTTTTACATTACTTTGATCCCACCTTTTTGGGGGGGGTACCAATATGAAACTATTCAATACGTGAACGTGAAAGAAATCGTAATTATTAACAAGGCTACCTAAGCAATTGAATCTCAGCTTCACCTAGACGCGAAAGTAGGAGAGTAGTTCACCAAGACTTAGCCACCGCGCATCATTGCTAATGTATACTTTTGGAAAACGCACAATATGACACATACGACCATAGACTGAAGAGAATTGGGCATCCCGTCCGCTCTGCCATACACAAGCTTCAGATCGGTGGATTAGTAGTTGGGTGGGTGACCACCAGCGAATCCCCGCTGTTGTATGTAAAATAAACCTTTTGTCTTTCCTTTTGCTTCCTTTGATGTTGAGGACAGCAGCAACTTTCCACCAGAGTGCAAGAAAAGGAGCATATTGAGATCAGATCATTTTTGAACATTTTGCATAACATATTGGCGACAGATTACTACAGTTAGACACAAACAATGACTTTCATCACGAAGATGAGGCAATTTACCTGCAACCACACGGAAAGGACGATATTTTTCTCGTCCGTTCTCTGTTTGAACAGAATACCCCTTCGCTTACCTACTCGAGTATGTAACCCCCCTTTCCACCTATTTTTCCCTCACATCCATCAACACAGGCACAAACACAGAACCACACCAAAGCAACATGACCATACTCACCATGCCAAAAGCGAGGAAATTCCACACGTCATCTCCATCTACACCAGCGAATGTAGGATCACAGACGAGCGGCCCACCTTGAGCGAAATGAAAAATTCCAAGCGAGGCGTCGAACCCCAGATCGGGACCAGGTGTTTAAAAGTGTTCTACACTAGACTGCTTGTCTTGATGGACTTTGACGCATAATCAATTATGTGCAGGTGTGAGACGAGAAGCCACTGGGCCATTATCCATCACCCTGATCAAACATGGGTCGAGATACTGGTATGTGAGATTTGGTATATATGATTCAAACCGACTTGAACATTAGGGCGTTCTAGAGCAATTAGTTTGGAAAGTTACATTAAAATAATGATATTAAAATAATAGAACGAAAGTTCGCAAGAACCACATGCAAAGCTTGTGACTATATGAAACATGTGATATTGAGAATAGATTCAAACGCATGCAGGATATCAGACAGTAGTGAGCACCGCCACACAAGAGCCAACCCATGCAGGTAAGTAACACTGCGTTTAAAGATTAACCATCGGCTTCACTGCATGAGTCCTCGAGAGCGAGAAATTACCCAGAAAAGACCTTAAAAATATGCTTAAAATAAACCCACCAATAAAGATATTCCACTTCGTATCTACCACTTTCGACAATGCAGACATCGTAGCACAGCATTCTCTCGTTACCAAATTTCTAATTCGACAACGAATGAAAAAATTCAGAGCATTTTCTCCTCGATTATTCCAGAGGCAAGTTCTCCCAAAACGGGAATGTTGCATCGAAATCTAAGATTAGGTATGTAGGGTTTCCCCAGCCACGCATTCTCAGATCATTCAAAAGCTTCCTTGCCGAAGGGAATCAGAGAAATCTAACATCTAGCCAACCCCATTCATCGGAACATCATCCGCGCGCCCCCAGACGCATTTATCTTTAAAACAAACGCCGTATCGGCTATACTCGAGTAGTATTTCAAATATATATCCAAGACTTCCACCCCATCTCGACATTTCTCTACCAGGATCCCTTCCATCTAATCTCGGCCATCTTAACTCAAAAGCATTTTCCGCGCATATGCACCCTGCGAAACCCCCACCATGACCCTTTCCGAATCCCGACAGACTGTCACTTCGGCCCTTCTTCCCTGCGCCATGATATTCTCTCGTTAGTGTACCATTCATAGCTGGAGCCGAGTTGCGTAGCGCATGGATGCTTGTTGTTCGATTGCGGGCTACTTTATCCGTGTGGATTGTGGATGGCTAAGGAGTGAAGTGCCGGCGCCGCACATAAGCATAAATAGAGTTGCATCTACTAGCACCCCATACCACACTTGTGGACATGTGGTGTGTAGCCAGATATTGCACTTTACCTGCCATCTCTCCATTCGTACATAAACCAATACTCCCTTATTTGGAGATACGAATCGAGATACGAGCGGGGAAATAGCAAATACAACAAGGAAACTAATATTTGAATATATTTTTCTTCACATAACCCATGCTCCTTGGAAACATCGTACCAGCAGCCACCAACAAAGCCAAGGGCTCGGCACAAGCGGATGGATATTTAGATAAGGCTCGGGACGACACGTATGATATGCGTGCTTACCTTGCCTTAGTTTTCCTTGAGATCAGCAAAATTCATGAGATGATCCCTTGGCTAAGTTGGCTTAGCTATGAACGAAGGGAGTTACATCCGTACTAAGCCGTAGCTGAGTACGACAAGGAGAAGCCGAGATGGTCTGGAGAATAAGGATTGAGTCGGGACCGAAACTTGAATGGTAAATGCTGATATATATGCACGTTAATCACATGTACTGTTGTACTAGAATTCGACTCCAAAATTTCTGATTTTCTGTCCAGATTTGAATTAACCCATCCGTGCACTTCTCCTCTTCCATCATTTAAATCGCAAAACTACCAATAGGGCGGTCTCAATCCTGCAAAATTCGACGCTATGGAGTTATCCCCACTATCATCCTTTTTCCTTTGGCCTGTCAACTATTTTCACATTAAAAGTTAGCCATAGTCACATTCAGTCTCGATTGGAACAGGTAAAGCTTACCTCCAGCTGCACGTGTCGATGCAGGTGAACCAGCCAGTCCACATAGCTCTGAGCCTCATTGTTTCTATCCTCCACCAATAGTCTGGCAAATTCGTATTCGGCGCCATCGAGCCCTTGTCTAGCAAGCTGAATCGTTAAGGCTTTGGCTCCACGCATCGTCTTTAAGTATTCCAGTATATTTCGTACTTGAGCGCTGAGATGTGTTTGAAGAACAGGTAAGGATGAGAGATATGGATCCAGTGCCTTGAGATTCTCTTTGTCTTCGCCGAATAAATCCATGATAAAGTTAGGTGAGGTTTGACCGTGCATCCAGAGATAGCAGATCTGTCCATTATCCACAAGATATACACCGCCTTCTTCGACTCTAGCGAAAGAGGCTCGTACCGAGGGCGGCATCCTAAGATGGCCATCTTCGTTTGCGAACCCATCTTCAGGGGCGAGATTATGAATTGGGATCATGCGAGGATAAAGGTACAAGGAGAGTTCAAGAGCGCCCATGCTTTTGATCATGCGTGCGTCGTGAACTCGGCGATCGGAAGGTTCTGATCCTCCCTTGAAAGCTCGAGATTTGACAAGACCCAGGATATACATGCTGAATTCTTTGAGGTGCTCTGGTAGAACTAGTTGACCTGGAGGATGAGATCCTGAGAAGTTTTTGCGATATCCGGCCAAGATATCAACGTTCTTTTCCGACAAAGCGCCTCGGATTTCCTTCAGTGTATTTGCCAACATTTTTGATGCTGCCTCTTTTGCAATTAATGCGTATATAGCGTCTTGATCTACAAAGTTCATGCACTCCTTGGGTTGATCGCTTACACTAGCGATAACATTGGAGCACCTTACCCTTCGCTCACCACTAGCCGTAGTGTAGAGTAGGGCACTTTGGAAGTGAGCATCCAGCTTAGAATCTAGTTTCCCGTCATAGCTGAATAAAACTCCCATGGCCTTATCCGAATCAATGACTCCAAATTCAATATCAGCTCCAAAGGTATGTTGAATAAAGTTGCCATGATATGAAGATATCTGCAAACCATTTGAACATCGGACCTTCATCAGCGCTTGATATCCAGTCTCTCGTGTAACGGAGCGCACAACTTCATGTGATAATTTCTCGTTATCTCGTGGAGAGACAAAATTGGGGTAGTAAAACGTTTCTCCTCCGGTAGCAGCAGCGACATGACCTATAGAAGTTAGTCACTAATTCTTTTGCCATAAAAGTCGGCATTTGTTTACCTATTGTCGCAATGTCAAGATATCCGCCGCCAGGAGCCGCAAGGAACAAGTCAATACCAACTCCAGTCGAAACCATCCTATCTGCTGCTTTCCTCCAACCGGGATGTTCAGTAGTGAACAACTTTTTGTCCTGCTCTCCACCATGCTGTTTTCCGTCATCACGTAGGAATAATCTTCCAGGCCCCCAAGTTGGAAGAGCCGATAGAGAGCACACAATTTTCCCTCCAGTCTTCTCAAGAGCTGCCATAGCTGCATTGATGGTTGGAAGTAATGCTGGCTCAGGGTTTTTGATTTGAGAAAATAGTTGTGGAAGTTGACTCAGCAAAGAAGTAATGTTAGACTTGGCTTCATACGGATCCACGAAAAGTCCATCACTAAGAGGAACAAATGGATCATCAATGTCCGGCATAATCAGCATTTGAGCTTGGTCCAGCTTAGGATTCATGTTGTAGAAATGAATATCCTTATCGAAGGTCACGAATCCAACCTTTGATCCTTCGGGGATTCTGCGTTTCAAAGATCCATCCTCTTCGGTTGAGTCGTCGCCTCCGTACAAAGCTGCCAGAATGCCTTCACAGAATGCTTCCAAGAACCCTTTGTTGAGCGCTTCTTGGCCAACATCAATCAAGAAAATCCACCTCAAACCCACAGGCTTTTGAGACCAGTATTCTTTGGGAACCAAGAATTCAACCGTCCCTCGCATTAATTCAGGTCTCTGTTCTCTATCAACTCTAGCCCCCTGTGGTGTAGTCGCAGAGAAGTATTCCATAGGTACGTCGTTCGCATAGTTGCACATATTGCATACAAATTTATTGCCTCCGGATCTGAACACCATGAATGGGTTGATATAGGCACGGCATCGGTGACATCTAGGAGGGCCTGTTTCTCCAAAGTCCAAAACTGGTATCTCAAGCTCACCTGGCTGTAATGAGGCTAGTGGTTGCAAAAGAAGGCCAAGTGGCAGCCCTGTCGAATGTAACGCATCTGCCGTGGATGGAATATTATTCATCGTTAAACGTGCGAATTTTGGTGAAGAATTTCCTTGATCATAGGCAACAAATGGCACTGTAGCTGTAGGAGGAAGGTGATGTTCGAAGGTCGGGTATACGTTCTTGAGGTAATACTGCGCTATCGCGTCTCTCGATCGGGGTACGCTGGGAATTTGATCTGGGTCTACTCGGCCTTGCGCAGAAGTCTGCACATTAGCAGAGAAGCCATCCCCAGACCCATTTCTCGCAGCAAATTCGGCAGACGTGGCAAGATTCGCGGGGTTGAAAGGCAAATTCACAGGGGCAGGAAACTGTGACATTTGAGGTGTAATGGGCGAATTTAGGAACTGGCCGCCGGGAGATGACATTGATGAAGGATCGGCATTGAGATATGATGACGGTGGAACGCCGCCCTGCGGTATTCCATTAAATGCTTGTGAGGAGCCTTGAGCTTCGACTACATGATATGCGTGCCTATCCTTCTTCTTTTTCTTTGCCGCTGGTTGTTGATTCGATATTTGTAAATTCTCCATGCCGAGATCATTTGGGTCAGCGGGATGCATCATAGAACTTCCGACTCCTTGGTAGGCAGGCTGTCCACCATAAGATGGCTGCTGCTGCTGCTGCTGCTGTATACAATGGTCAGTAAGTGTAAAACTCTCCATTGGTTCCCAAAAAAGACTTGTGAATAGAACAGATTGCCTTACAAAGGGAGGTTGCGCCATATTGTCTATCAAAGATTCGGGCAGCTGTAAGATATTATAAGATTATATGGATGCGCAAAAGTAGAGGATCTGCGACGACATGAGATATTAACAGTTTTAACTGGCGAAAGACATTGTAATATAGGCTAAGGTCTTGACTGAATGGAATTGAAGATATAAATTCCGTCCTACCGCTCCTTAAGGCTACCTTGCCTCATGTACCCAGTAAGTTGTTGTCCAGGCCTAAACCTTAAATTTTTAGCGTGTTATCGTATCATTGGTGATCAATTGCGGCTACAGCCTTCTCCAAGCTAGCCTTGTTTTGTTTTACTTCATTCATTATTACCCATTCTAAAATACATCCTCCCCCTCTGTAAACGTCACAGAATGCGATAATAATGTTTACATTTTGTTCCTTGCAGGGAGCGCAATCCGAATCATCGGCGTCGCAATCTTTACTTGAGCTTGATGGAGGAGTAAAGGTACTGATTGATGTTGGATGGGATGAAACTTTCAGTGTAGAAAAGTTAAGGGAGCTGGAGAAACAGATTCCAACGCTCTCACTTATTCTCCTCACCCACGCGACCGTTCCTCATATCGCAGCTTATGCACATTGCTGTAAACATTTCCCTCTCTTCACTCGAATACCTGTCTATGCGACACACCCTGTCATCGCGCTTGGAAGGACTCTCTTACAAGACCTATACACCTCAACACCGTTAGCATCGACCGTTATACCTTCAACATCCTCATTCCTCCTCCAACCGCCGACGAAAGAGGAAATCAACTACTACTTTTCGCTCATTCGTCCTCTAAAGTATTCGCAGCCACATCAACCTCTTAATGGAATCACGATTACGGCCTACAATGCAGGACACAGTTTAGGAGGCACGATATGGCATATTCAACACGGACTCGAGTCTATAGTATATGCAGTGGACTGGAATCAAGCTCGTGAGAATGTTCTGGCCGGTGCGGCATGGCTGGGTGGAGCGGGAGCGGGAGGAGCTGAGGTTATCGAACAATTGCGAAAGCCGACGGCATTAATATGTAGCAGCAAAGGTGGAGAACGAGTCGCCTTACCTGGAGGAAGAGCCAAGAGAGATGAACTTTTACTCGATATGATAAAATCGTCGATTAGCAGAGGCGGTATTGTCCTCATACCGACAGATTCTGGAGCGCGAATGATGGAACTCGCATATCTCCTTGAGCATGCTTGGAGAACTGAAAATCAGGAAGAAGAAAGCCCATTTAAGTCCGCGAGGCCTTACCTGGCAGTCAGTACAAGTGAAATGACGATGAGATATACAAGAAGTATGTTTGAGTGGATGGACGAAGCTATTATTCGGGAATTCGAGGCCCAGCCTGGCCATGAGGAACAACAGACCGGACAACAAAGGAGAAACGTACAGGATTTAAAACAAAATGCTGGCCCGTTTGAGTTCAAACATCTTCGATTACTAGGGCGAAAGGGTCAAATCGACCGAATTTTGAACGAGACGGACAACTTAGGAAGATCTGTAGGGAAGGTTATCCTTGCTAGTGATACCTCTATAGAATGGGGATTTTCTAAAGTGGTGCTCCGAAAAATTGCGGACGATGACAAGAACCTCCTAATTTTGACAGAAAAACTGAATTGGATCGACGGAGCTCCAGGTTTGGGAAGGACTTTGTGGTCATGGTGGGAAGAACGACGCGATGGAGTTGCCTCGGAACCAAGCTCGAACGGAGGAAGTCTAGAACAAGTCTACGGTGGTGGAAGAGATCTTGAAATCAGAGAACCTAAACGTATCCCATTGGAGGGTAATGATCTGACTGTCTACCAACAGTGGTTGGCGACACAACGTCAGTTGCAGAACACTCTTCAACCGGGTGGTGCCACAGCTCTCGAGGCTTCTGCCGATATTGTTGATGATGCTTCATCGGATTCATCATCAGATTCCGATGATTCCGAGACCGACCAGCAAGGAAAGGCTCTTAATATATCCGCAACTATAGGCCAAGCGAACAGGAAAAAGATTGGCTTGAGTGATCAAGATCTTGGCATTAATATTCTTCTTCGAAAGAAGGGTGTCCACGATTTTGATGTAAGAGGAAAGAAGGGTCGTGATAAGATGTTTCCTGTGGCGATCAGGAGGAAACGAAACGATGATTTCGGAGAACTGATTAGGCCGGGGGAGTTTCTGCGAGCGGAAGAACGGGACGAAGTGGATGGACAGGAGCCGCAACGACCTGGAAAGTATGATACAAAAGATACCCTCGGCAAAAAACGAAAGTGGGATGATGTTGCAGCTTCAGGTAAACGTAGAACGTCGAATGAAGGCAAGCGACAACAGATCGGCAATAACGAGGATGGTTCCGTAGCAGATATTCTGGAAGAGGATGACCTACTGAATATCGTAGAAGAAGAAATTCCAGGGCCATCTCGGCTGGATATCTCAACCGAGACAATCAAAATCAATCTTCGAATCGCATTTGTCGACTTTGCAGGGCTTCACGACAAACGCAGTCTTCAGATGCTGATTCCTCTAATCCGACCTCGGAAATTGATACTGGTTGGTGGTATGAAAGATGAGACGTTGGCACTCGCCAGTGATTGTAGAAAGCTTCTTGGTAGCACCAAAGAAAGACTCGTCGATGTATACACTCCAGGAATTGGCGTTATTATTGACGCAAGTGTGGATACCAACGCATGGGCTGTAAAGCTCACTGATTCGTTGGTGAAGCAACTTCGCTGGCAGAACGTTAAGGGTCTGGGAATTGTTACTCTTACTGGCCGATTAGAAACAACACATATTGAGACCGATTCACACGACTCGGAAGGGGCAAACAAGAAGCAAAAGATGTTGACAGGAGAATCAGAGGAAATCCCGACGCAGGCAGCCCTCGATTCAGCGAAAGCTCTTGTTGAAATGCCAAATTTAGATGTTCTACCTTCAAATATGGCATCAGCAACAAGATCAGTGGCCCAGCCTCTACATGTTGGTGATCTGAGGCTAACAGATCTGCGAAAGATTATGCAATCTTCTGGTCTTACTGCAGAACTTAGGGGCGAAGGTACTCTTTTGATCGATGGGTCCGTCATTGTCCGTAAGACTGGCACAGGGAGGATCGAGGTAGAAAGCGTTGGTGTTATGACGGCTTCATTTTACGCCGTCAAGGGGAAGATTTACGAAGGCCTTGCGGTAGTGGCAGGTGGTTAAATCATCAAAATCGCTTCGTTGGGATTATTAAATCATTTTAGGGATAGGAGGGAAACTACAGCATTTTTTGTACCAATACTGTAAGAGACAATCTCAAGGTTAGGCCTCATCTGACTTTTACAAAGGTTAGCCAAAACAATTTGTGGGTGATTCATTCTTCAGTCACCAAGTAATGCCTCAGCATGTTTCCATTGTGTTTAAACAAAAAATTCTGAATCATTCAAGGCAAGTTTGTTGCTTGAAAATGTCCCATGATTCACAACCATTTCCTCCATTCACAACAACCACTTTGACTCTTGCTTCAAGTCCAGCCCCTTTTCATCATCTATTTAATCATGATTCGCCTTCCTTCCAAATCCAAACAACTCATCAATATTCTACTCGTCTTCAAGCTCCCTTCATAATTTCTTATCACTCATAAATTTACACAACTCTCCATCAAACTACCAGAAAAACAAGCTTCGGCATATCTATGCTCAACCCGCCATCGTGGCGTCCTTCCAAGAACCAAGATCTGTAACTCTACCTCCATACGAAGACAAAGACGTGCAAGTCATCGTATCATACAAAACACTGTGTGATCCATTCAGCAGCTTCCAGCAGGTCCAGCTTCTACGCATCCAGATTTTCGACATTGCAGGCTGCGAAATCTTCTATTACCAAGAACTTACTGCAGTAGCCGATACCTCAAGTGGTTGGAATAGATACCACGGTCGAGATCCAGGTCCACCTCCTCCACCCTATCCACCTCAACAGCCCTTCCCTCGTCACCAACCATTTGTAGCACACGTCCCTGTTGTTTATCCTTCTCGACTATATCAATAAATGTCCGGTATACCACATAATACATACCACGGCACGGACTCCGGTCCACTTCCTCCCAACGTCGGTATGTCATTCCCGGGCTCCTTTCCCTCGCCCATGATGTATCCACCACCTCCATACGGCTACCCCGATCCCTTTGGCAATATAGGATTTGGTCCACCCGGCTTCGCAGCCCCTCAATATCATTTCCCCGGCACCCACCCCGCACCGCCACCTGTTGATAATAGTGATATGCCAGGAGTCAGCGTCAAGAATCAATTCGGCGGCGTCGGTGTTCCCTCTGGCTACAACTACCTCTTTCCCCCCTCCCACTGTCTGATTCACGTTTTCGAAACCGGCTCAACTCCGCCCTGGCAAGCACTCACGCCACTCTACTCTCACGATGCACGTAATCATAAAAAATTCTTTGTTCCGGCTAATATGACGGTGAAGGAAATGATGCAACAGCTGGGATGTGATAATAAGGATGGGGATAAGAATGTTATGACCGAGGTCACGGAGGCGGGTAATGGGAAGTGGTTGAAGGGCATGGTGTATAAGGGGGTAATAAGGATAGGATGAAGATGTCGTTGGCAGGTTTAGGATGGGATACTGGGAAGAAGAGAACGGGGTTGCCGGGGCAGGGACCCTTGATTTGGGTTTATATTACGAAGGATTAGAAAGGTTTGAAGGGAGGGTGTTTGGTGGTTTGGAGTACTGGGGAGATGTGTATTAGAGCAGATTGGGGTCGAAAATGCTTGTCATCGTCTCGAGGTGTTTTCTCAATAAAGTGTGGCTTTCCACTCTATGCCTTTTTCTACAGGCTCGCTTCGGACCTCTTTGGTCTGAGAACATGGAGTCTATCGTATGGGATATATTATTGCAGGACAATTCGAGATTTCTATAAGTATCGTCAACCAAGTAGTCATGCGGATATCAATACTATAATATTATATTATTATATGAAAAAAATGGACATGGTCATGATCTTCCTATCAATGGTCTTTTCATTCTCTCTTCTTGCTTTGTGAATCATGTTCTGTATATTATTTATTCACCTTTCACTCTATCTCAGACTTTGCCCCTTTCCCTTCGCTTGCGATTTGCTAATCATCCATGAATGATGGATTGATTATCGAGTAGTAGTACTGGAGTAAGCTTAGCTCCCTACAATAGAGTCTCTGGCTCTCAGTTGCTAAAGGTAATCAATAATTAATCATATTATCCTGATAGACAAAATGAACATTATGTGATTGCTTTTGCCGAATAGGCGCTAGAGCTCTATTGAAGGGAGCTAGCTAAGTCTACTACTCGACGATTATTTAATATCCATAATATTATGGATATTCACGGCTGTTGATGGTTTCCGGTTATGTGAATAGTAGATAAGAACGAGATACCCGTGACACCCGAGACGCCCGAGACAACCGAGATAACCGATTCCCTTTTTAGGCAGGTCCTTGCGAGCACAAAACATTGATCTTGTATTGTATCATGTGGTTGGGATGAGATGAGATCATAGATCTATATAATCCTATATTGTACTCAAGATATTATCCAGTTTGACAAGACAGAGAGTTACATACATTACATACAAGCATCGGGTAAACTCTCGTTAACCAACGTATCTTCCTTTGAACCCGGTTCTGAAATCATGTCAATATCATTGCCATCCGAAGAACCCCGCGTTGCTCTATTCGGAATGTCCATGCGATGATTGTAGTAGATAGGTGGGGTTACCGGTACAGACCATGAATTATTGAATTATATGCACTTCTAATAGGAGCCACGATAAGATTATTCTGATTTTTGGTTTGATACAAGGGGGTCCTAGACTTCCAATAGATTGTGATGGAAAGTAGCTGGAACTTGGCTGAAAGGTCTGGTAAATCTTACATATATTGAGAGGTCCCCCCCCCTTCTGTGGTTCGTTTTTCTTTTTTTTATTCCCATCTTACTGTACTTTTCTTCACAGACTCGTTGGACATTCTCATTCCACCTGATTATAAGATGTCTACAGAGCAAGTTCCAGTCTCACTCCCACTTGTGGGGGGCAAGAAGACTACGTTGGAGCATCCTCTTGGTCCATTGACAGCTGGTGAAATATTGGAGAGTTCGAGAATTGTTAAGGAATCATGGCCTGCGGAGGCTATATTTCAATTCAAGACAATTACACTTCAGGAACCAGATAAGGCTGAATTGGTCCCATTTCTCACTGCTGAGCATTCGGGATCCGCTCTCCCAAAGGTTGACAGGAGGAGTTTCGTGGTTTACTATCTTAAAAATACTGTGAGTTTGACTGCTTGGCTTTTGCTTCATATTTGTTTGCTAGAGTGGCAATTGGTGTAGATTGTTCAGGAATTGATATTAATGGGCTTTTTGCAGGATAAATTACACGAAGCTATCGTCAATCTTTCTACTGGAGAGGTAGAGAGCAATGTCAGACTTGGCCCGAATGTTCACAGCGGCGCCGATGGAGAAGAAATCGTAGCAGTGGAGATAGCTGCCTTGGAGGATGCGGGAGTGAAGGCCGAGATTGCAAAGCTTCAATTGCCAGAAGGGACTGTCGTTGTTTGCGACCCATGGATTTATGGTGAGTTTACACCGAATTTCCCAAACTTAAGCTCATACTGACAATTCTTAGGCTCTGATGGAATAAACGATGGCATTTTCACCGACGAAAAGCGCTTTTTTCAGTGCTTTCTTTACATTCGAGACCCAAAGAATCCTAATGAGGCAGATGGCAACCATTATGCTATGCCTCTTACCATTTCTCCAGTCGTCAGTGCAGAGACTATGAAAGTTACACGTATCGATATCATGCCAACTGGAGCCGATCATACAATCAAGGAGCTCTCGCCATATAAAGTCCAACCTGCCAACGAATATATACCTGAAGCACAAGATCTCCGAAACGATCTTAAGCCATTGAACGTCATTCAACCAGAAGGTGCTTCGTTCGAAGTATCTAATTTCAGTGAACAAGGACATACTGTTGCGTGGCAAAAATGGACCTTCAAGGTTGGTTTCAACCAAAGAGAAGGCATGGTTCTTTACGATGTTCATTATGATGGACGTCCTCTCTTCTACAGATTGTCTCTCTCAGACATGAACATCCCATATGCCGATCCTCGTAACCCATTCCACAGAAAAGCAGCCTTCGATCTCGGTGATGCAGGAGCGGGTATCATGGCAAACAACCTCCAGCTCGGATGTGATTGTCTCGGTTCGATCCACTATCTCTCCGCTGTTCTCAACGACGCGAAAGGAGAAGCCCTCGAGATGCCCAACGTAGTATGCATCCATGAGCAAGACAACGGTATCGGATGGAAACACACCAACTACAGAACCGGCCGCGCAGCAGTCGCCCGTAACAGAGAACTCGTTCTTCAATCTATCATTACCGTGGCAAACTACGAGTATATCCTCGCATTCCAGTTCAATCAAGCCGGAGAAGTCATGTACGAAGTTCGTGCCACCGGTATCCTCTCCACTCAGCCCATCGACGAAGGCCTCACAGTCCCATGGGGAACCGTTGTTCATCCTGGTGTTCTCGCCTCCCACCATCAACACATCTTCTCCCTACGCGTCGACCCCATGATCGATGGTCCCCTCAATAGTCTCGTCTACGAAGAAGCACACCCCATGCCCCGTAACGACTTCAACCCACACGGTGTCGGTTACACCGTCGACACCACTCCCATCACCACATCCGGCGGCTACGATCTCAACTACGACGTCAACCGCACCTTCAAAATCCAAAACTCCTCCATCAAGAACCCCATCAACGGCAAACCCGTCGCCTACAAAATCCACGTCCCTCCCTTCCAAAAAATGCTCGCCGACCAAGAATCTTTCCATTTCAAACGCGCCGAATTCGCAGACCACAATATCTACGTCACCTCCTACCGCGACAACGAACTCTACGCCGGAGGCAAATACACAAACCAATCTCGCGGTGGCACCGGTGTGCGTTCTTTCGCGGCACGACAGGATAATGTCGCGGATGATGATATTGTCGTTTGGGTCCAATTTGGAATCAACCACGTACCACGCATTGAGGATTTCCCAGTCATGCCCGTGGAAATCATCAAGGTGGCACTAAAACCCGTTAATTTCTTCACCAAGAATCCAGCATTGGATGTCCCGCCTTCAGAACAAAGTTTCAATAAGAGTGTATTGGCAAAGGATAGTGCGGCGCAACATCATCAAGAGTTGGGGACTGCTGTTGTAGGGGCAAAGGGGGATCTGTGTTGTGTGAAGGATGGAAGTAAGTTGTGAGAGTGCGAGTTTGAGTTGTATGAGGGGTGATGGTGGGGTGATGAGATATATGATATCATATCATATCGTAGGATAAAGTTTATTTTATATGGGTTTTATGGGAAGGATGGATGGGCGTTTGGGATATTCAGGGGAAATGTAAATATGGCATTGAAAGGGGATGCGATATTCATATGGGAATACTGGTACCAGGAGAATGGCTAGCTACCTATCAACCAACCTACGCGACGGGACGGGATTTCATTAGCTGAAAGTCATGCAGAAATATATATTCGTATTGTACTCCATCCAAACTTTTCGTGTATACCTGTACTCGAGTAACGGAACGGTACTAGTGTTGTTTTTCATTATATTATACTATACTCGAGTATAGAGAGAGAGAGGTATTTAAGTAAATGTATATGCTTGAGTATGAACAAGTAATTACGATAATAGTATTGTACTCGAGTAGTAGTATTGTAGTATTGTAGTAATGTTTTAGTATGATATGATTGTAGTATGATACCAAAATACTAAAGTATCTATCTACCTACTCCTAGTAGCCGGGATACTGCCGCCATTCATCCATCCATCCATCCAATACACATGATTTATTTTTAATATTGGCCATCTGGGTCTGAGTCTTACTTAGCCTAAGATTGAGTTCCCTCCCATATACACACTGTGGTTGTAACCACAACTACCCCACCTCACTCGAGATCTCAGTCTTATTCACCACCATACATATCCCATGCATGATGCCACCCATTCCATTCCATTCCATTCATCCATCCATGTGTCTGTGTCTAGCCATAGCCATCCCACACTGTTCATCCATCCATCCACCCATTTTACAATTAAAAACCCGTGCCCAAACCCCAAGCAAAGCATCCATACATGCATCCATATCCCATCCGTTGCAAACGCATTAATCATTTCTTTTCCCCCCTCCACCCAGCCCCTTCCTCTTCTAAACCTACAACTCATTGAGGAATCCTCCCGATTGAGCGAATCTTGTCTGGTATTCTCTGAGATCCGCCCAGTTACTCAATTCTTCCTCTTCATCCATCACACCATCAGCACTCTCACTCCTAGCACTGCCTGGATTAGCTCTCTCGAGTTTCATTAGGATTTCCAGGAATTTTTCTAGGTACACCTCCGTGCGTAACGCAAAAGGTCCTTTGCGGTTTTGCGGTGTATCGACTAGAGTTGAAGCTATTTGGCGGATTTTGTTAACCTGTGATAACGAATGTTAGTGAAACCGAAAATATCATGGGTAAGAAAGGGAAAATAAAGGTAGACGAACAAAACTGCCACCATTGGGCTCCATATTAACTTGTTCAATACAACTCAGCGCCTTCAGCAAATCCTTTACAATGCTTTCTCTTTCATTCATCACATTAGACTCGATTGAATCTTCCGATGCTGATTGTGGTAGCATTCTATCTAAACCACTTGCTATAAGACCTGGAGATCCTAGTTTGAGATCCTCCACACCTCCTGCTTTAGCTTTGAACTGTTCGTAGGCATCTTGAAGGTTCCAATACTTCTCGACGACATATGACCTGGTGGCCAGCTGGCTAGCGTAGATATTGGCTTTCTGTATGTCGAATTGTACTTTCCTCCTCTCGTCTCCTGTAACTTCACTCCAAGCCTGTCCTTCGAATACATTTGCACGGACACCTGGAAGATCTGTCATAGGCGGATAATAGGCTTCATCGCGGTGACCAAAATCTCCCGATTCCGGGGTTGTTGGGAGCATCAAATCATTTGGTAACATTTCCAGAACATGCTTTACTGCACTGAGACATTGTGAGAGTACTTTTCTTTGACGTTGATAGTCGAAGACTTGATCGATACCATATGCCATTTCCATTGTCGCAAGAGGTGTACATGTCATGTAGATCCGAATACCCATATTGAATCCAGCAAGTCTTGACAAGACACCTTCAGGTTGTGGTTCGATGGAATTAAGACAAATGTACTCATCGTCCACTTCTACTGGCAGTGGAGGATATGGGTCGTTTGGAGTTGGTGGCGGAATCAGGAGTTCACCGAATGTCGCACCTAGTTGTTGCATGGATCTGATTCTTAGTAGAGTATTTCCAAAAGGGGCAATATTACTTACCGAATACCAACAAACATGACCCAGAAGAGTCTTCTGCCAATCTCCTGTCGAATATAATCAACAGGTTCAGGCTGATCAACATATTGAGGGCTTTCTGCACCGAATGTAGCAGGAAAATTACCCATAGTAACCATCATGCCTGGATTCTTAGATCTGTGAGCGCCCAACATTCTTACAATGTTTAATGTCTCTCCAAAATACAATCGACATTGTCTCCAATCAAATATATATGCACCTGCCAATCCCAGAAAATAACTTGTAGCTGCATCATATACCGAAAGATTCTTGTCGAGATATCCAGCTCCCCTAGCTTCAACTGCTACTTTATGACATCTTCTGACTAAGCTGAGTGAATTTGGGAACAGATGTTCTCGGTTTTGAGCTTTCAGGTGGAGCCTAGGCTTTCTCGGAAATGATGCCACCAGTATTCCGACCATGGATGCCACCAAGGCAAGAAATGATGGATTTTGTAAATCTTCTCGACTTTTAAATGCGATTCGGAATGAAGGCTCATGTGGGAAGGGGGCAAGTGGATGTATGTAGGTGAAGAAGTCATCGATTAAGAGCTCGAGAGTATTGAGAGGCAAAATCGACTCGGCAGAGAGAACCGCATGTGAAGAGAAGGATGCCAGTGTCGCAGCAACATTGTTTGGAGATGTCGGAGAGGAATAAACTCCACTACCACCACCTGGAGATTCGAGTCTTCTCTTTTTTATAGCTTCCGCATGTCGATTTGGCGGACCTCTTCGACGACTTGGTCTCTCGAATGTACATGGGATATCTAATGCTGCACATGCTCGACATGGAGGACCAGATTCATCACACTATTGAGAAAATTTATATGTTAGCATTTACCCCGCACTCAATATAGAAAGATTGAAAGCTTTAAAATTTCATATATCCACTTACCTTCACTTTTCTGATACTACATGAATCGCATGCTTTCCTTAATCTATTTCCTTTTGGTGTTTCTCCGTTTCCATTCATAGATGGTGGTGTTCCAGTTTGTATGGGCAAACCATCATGACCATTTGTCATTCCATCATTGTATGGTGGCATCGGTGGCATCGGTGGGGGCATCTGAGGCATTTGGGGCATTTGTGGCGATTGCTGACCCTGCGGAGCTCCCATAGATTGAGGATCATATTGAAATGATGGTGCGACAGATATGCCGAGCTGTTGTCCCAGTTGTTGTTGATGTTGATGTTGATGTTGATGTTGATGTTGAATTTGTTGATTATGGGACATCAATGGGTCATTTGGTGATGGAATTGATGGGCCGTGCAAAGGTAAGGAATTGTAACCATTATTATTATTGTGTCCATTCGGTGCTCCTGGGTAGGCGGACATGCTTGCCAATAGGTGACAAAAATGGCCCCCTGAAGGTTGTTTTTGTCGAAAAGGATGTATACCGGTGCAAATCCGGTAAAATTGAGGGAGGGGAGTGGATTTTTCTTGGTTGTTCGCTTTTCTTCTTCGTCTTTGGTTGTAATACCGGTGAGTTGTACGGAGTCTGGAGTCTGGAGTCTGGAGGTCGGGGAGTACGGATAGGGTACGGATTGAAAGAAGTACGGATCGAGATTTTTAGACTTGACAAGTTGGTGAATTATAAGTGCCAGTTATAAGAGAAGAGAATGGATGGAGAAGTGAATACCTAGTATGGGTAGATGGATGAATAATATTATATATATAGTTTTGAAAAAAGAATATGAAAGATGTCTTTCTTCTCTATTAAATCAAACTTCAATTGAACAGATAATTATGTATATAAGAAAGATTCAAAGATATTTTGTTATACTCGAGTAATAATAATAATAATAGTAATGATATACAACTGCTTTTTGAAGCTTGAATCTGGGGGGGGAGGATAAGAGACAAATATTTGCATGGCTACAGGGTTACTTCAGATATAAACCCATAGAGAAGGGTAAAAGTAATGAAAGGTGGAAATCCTTGAGATGATCAATTGGGACAAGTTGGGATTTGTCGTATTATGGTATATGGGTGGAGGGTCGAGGGTCGATGATTGAGGGGTTGTGAATGGTTCCTTGAGAGGGAACTTGTGGGAATGAGATTTGTGGATGTTGATGGCAATGATAAATGATAAATGATACTCTGATGATACAAGGGCAGGACGGTATTCTTGTTGATCTGAGGTTCTAGTTGCTGGCAGAACTATATTATACTTTGGAAGATGTGGGATATAATTAGAGGTTGATATGTGATTATATGTGATGAAACTCATGAGAGATTAGAAGTTTGATTAATAAATTCATGATAGGAGTTCTGTAACATTTTATTCATAGAAGAGGAAGATAGTTTGATATAATATATACTCGAGTATAGTAAGAGTGTAAGAGTAGTTTTGAATTGGTGTATCAATACTAAAGTAGGTATCTACTCGAATTATTGTAGACGAAGGCCCTTTGATCTCGAGTATCAAGTATCCTATGAGTATATACATACATTTTGTGATTTGATCATTTATGATTGGATGATACCTTCATTTCTACTAGACTACTAGACTACTAGACTACTACTCGTACTAATTGATGTATCTCTTTCATATACTCAAGTATATTAAAAGTTCAATCCTCTTTCAGTAAAACATCATTGAGGGACCTGACTTATGCATTGATGCACCGCCATTTCAATGATTTTTAGGCGGGGACAGCGGCTTTCTAGAAAACCGTTAGATTCAATCTACTACTGTATAGATTGTCTTCATTCTTACTCAATACGGAGCATGCTCGGTAGAGAAGTCTCTTTTCCAACCAACCTCTAGGCCTTTCCGAGATTGGAGAATCTAGACGTTGTTTAAAAGTACATATTGACTCTTCCTTCGAAGTTCATGATCAGATATCTTGGTATCTATCTTATCTTGTCCCTGATAGAAAGTACCGAAAGCAATAGGAAAGTAAACGCCTTACCGGTATTCCGATGCAAGGCCTCTTTGGTACTGTACTCCGTACGGAGTAGTCTCTATTCTTTTACCACCTGCGTCTATTAACTCCACAATGGCAGACAGAGACCACAAATTTAATGATGCTATCCCACAATTCAGATTAATAAGATGTAGGTTCGTCTAATAAGAGTGTGCACTGTTGCTGACTCTGTTTTTGAGTTGCTGGTAATATCAGTCTGTCTGTAAGACATCGGAGAATTTGAATGATGAATTTATAGACCTCAATTAAATTTCTACTGGACCTCCTTCATCCGGCTCCATTCTTAAAAGAGGAATATCTCGGTATTTGCCTTCATTTGATGGGTTATGGAGTCCCATCATCTCGTCAATTCTCGACTTCCAAGTTCCCACACAATTTAGAGTTCTTCTCTACATGCAACTACCCAGGAGATACATATCTATTACAGTACGGTGAGCACCCAAGCAACCGCAAACCTCGCAAGTTGTAACCTTCTCGAACATTCATACAGCAACAAAGTACAAGTGTATACAGGCTGCGAGTCATGATCATTTTGTCACAAACTAGCACACAAGGCAAAACCTATCAAGCATGGATTATTGTATGCATCAATAACTTCATTTGGATATTGACTTTCCATTCTCCACGTGCCCTTTACATCCGCATATTAATATACCAAGCATGCTGCATGCAGCATGATGCTCTCCCGTCGACAGGTCTCCATGCTCATCTTAACAGAGTTTGTTAGTAATGTGTTCTGCAACAAGCTTGAAGATATGGGAGGGAACTTGGTTACCGGTATAGCACCACTTTAAGGTTCAACGCTTTAATCCAAATTCTTCCTTGGTATCTGGAATATCACCCCATATATCATCAAGTCTATGAGATTACCTCTGATATATTAACCGCCAAATAATTCAGGATCATCGAAGCAACTTGAGATACGAAAAAGAACTTTTCTACGAGTAATTACAGTACCGGTATATGTTACAGCCAAAGAAAGGAAGCAAGATCGCATGGTAATAGGATGGATCTTCCCGTCCACAAGGCCCCTTGTGAATCATTTCAATTTTGGCAACTTGACACTGTTGACAGCTTACAAGTCTCAACTTCCAACATCACCCCGTCGCCCCGCTATCATCTCTCCATGAGTCCATATATTCAATGATCCTTGATTGGTTCCAATGGGAACTTTCGGCTACCGCGTGTACCGTGCGAAAAATACACGGGATATTATGAAAATAATGATTATATGTACCTATGTGTGGCGGGTAAAGGATTACGCGGCGGCAATCGATTAAACCTGCCAGTGCGGTCCGTAACTCATAGGGCTAGAGTACCTTAACAACAGCGAAGACGACAAGATTGAGGCCTTGTAACGTTGCAAAATGCAATATATGCATGAGAACCTTCTTTTCTGGAAGAATGAAAGATGCAGATAGGTCGGAGGAGTAAAAGACACACAGATCATCATGCCACGAGCGAGCGAGCGAACCAAAAACAAGCACCAACCTATTTCCCAGCATTATGCTAGCTGAGTATGATGTTATTATTCCCCTGAGAGCTGGGAGGCTGGGAGGCTAGTTGCAACCTTCCGATTTGCACTAGGGCAGGCTAAGCCTTACTTACCAGGCACCTTCTAATTATGGGCATGGCCTCGTGGGTTGAAGAGTTGAAGCGTGGCTATTATCAACCTGGCAAGTTGAGAAACTTACAAGTTTTACTCGAGGACAGTACAGTACCGGTACATTTCGCAAATTACGGCAACTGCCAGCAAACACCGATGCCTGTGTCCTGATGGGCCCTATTCCTTATAACCAGTTACTCATGAAATCCCGACTATAAGTGTTAATATCAATTTACCAGGGGCAATAAGCTTTTCTATATGCGGTATTGCAATTGGAAATGTTCCAATTGGCCTTCATCTATTTCGATCTGTGGCCAGAGTATTTCTCTTGCTTCGGAATCCGGAATACAGTAGGTACGTTCTTCGATACCGGGTCACTTCATTAGGTTTATATTCTTCCTTTAATTTCACCAACAATAATCGATTTTGGCGGTCAAACGATCATGCTCATGGTTAGTGGATGAAGTGGTCAAAAGAACCCTGGATCCATCAACATCATGCTTGTGTTGCTAGCGGTACGATACGTGCATGCTTGCCATGCGACCGATGTGTCAATATCCTTCCACAGCTCCACTCTGTTGAGGTAAACCGTAAACCTTGAAGGTTAAACCTTTTAACTTTTCTGAGTGCGATTACGGTGCTGCACTTCTCATGGTACCATAATTCACGTGCTACTGCTTCGGTCATACTATAGAACTCTCTTCTTGGAATAGGACCGAGATACCTGCGGAAAGTGGACCCTGGGCTTGGGCAAGTGGACATCCATCCCACAGAATGAATATCCCGCCTTATCAAGTTGGCTCCATACAGATGCAGTAGTGAAGTCGAATTAGAACTGTGATTGGCTTCCATAGCCACGTATGGATTAGCATACTACAGGTTGATGTCAGGGAAAGTGGAAAGCTTTTTCAATTGTATTTCTTTCTTCCATCGGTGAGTTGAGCATTCACTTCACTGCTTTCTCGTGGCTCAGGTGGCTGAGTTCAATGAGGCTTGTAGTTATAAGTGGAGTCATGTCCTGAATTACCCCAGGAGGTTCAAAACTTAGCTTGCGTTAAGCCCCTGAGCCGACAATAGGCGCCCCGGTACTCGTATACCGGTAACCTCTAATCCAATGGTCCACACATGATACAAGTAATGCAGACCAATAGCCGCGCACATAACAACAATCTATATCTTTGGATTTAGCTAGCCTTGTCATTAATAGAAATTCAAAAACGGCAAAAATCTGCGCAAATCAGTAACTCGCATCCCCCGTATTTCTTAAGAATCAACACTTCTTCCAATAGGAGGACCAATCAATACAGCAAGATTTACAACGGTGAATACATATCATTCTCATTTTAAAACCGCCTTCCTCGGATCCGAGGTGAGATTACTTACTCGCCCAATGTAGCCGGGAACAATTCTTGAATACCTGCTGCGAATATTCCATACTAACCCAGTGTAGGCAGTACTGTAGTGCGAACTAGTTGTTAAACTGCCAGTTTGGGGGGAAGGAAGGGGGGGGGTTTAATACTTTAACTAACAGTTGAATTTATGATCGTATGAACTGAATCAACATTCAGTTAGAATTCAACAAATTGAACTGCCAATTTAACTAACTGAAGTTGAACTGAACTGGTTAACTGATAGTGTAATGTGAATTTTCACAAACGGGACCAACTACCAGTTATCATCGAATAAACTAAACTGCTACTCAAGTAGTTCAATCAGTACTCTATACTCGTTCAACTACTCAACTACTACCTACACAGTACTATACCAACCACCTCTACTCGTACAGTCTACACTCTACA